GCGTGTAGATCCGCCTGTTCCTTCTGCTTCAGCTGGGCAGTTGACAAACTCTCGGCTGCGCAGTCTCTCATGCTGGTTAAATGTTCCCTTAAGTCCTCAATGTAGCTGTTGATATCACTCTCCGGAATGTCCTCTGCTCCTGTCCATGCTTCCTTCAAAATGTCCATAGGTCCTCTTGGTGTTCTCCCATATAGCAGTTCAAATGGGCTGAACTTGGTGCTGGCTTGTGGAACCTCCCGATAAGCAAACAAGAAGTGTTGTAGTTTCTTGTCCCAATCATTAGGGTTCTTGTGGACGTACGCCTTCAGCATGTGGTTGAGGGTACCGTTGAATCTTTCCGTCAAGCCGTTGGTTTGAGGATGGTATGGAGTAGAAGTAAGATGCTTGATCTTGCAGGTCCGGAACAGCTCTTGCATCATCTGGGACATGAAGGTGGCTCCAAGATCTGTGATGATAGATCTGGGAAAACCCACGCGTGCAAATACATTGAGCAGCGCGTCTGCCACTGTTTTGGCGTCCGTTTCCTTCAATGGAATTGCCTCTGGGTATCGCGTGGCAAAGTCCACGGCAGTCAAGATGAATCTATGTCCATCAAGCGTCTTGTGGGACATAGGGCCAATGTTGTCTACTCCGACCTTGTCAAAGGGAACAGTGACAACTGGAATGGATTGTAACAGTCCTTTTGTCTTGTCTTTGGCTTTTCCCACCATTTGACAAGTCTCACAGGATTTACAATAGGCTGTCACATCACCTCCCATTCCAGGCCAAAAAAATCTTGACTGTATGCGATCTTTGGTTTTCCTGATACCTAGGTGTCCACTGAATGTGGTATCATGGGCTAGCTTGAGGATTTTAGCCCTATACTTTTGTGGAACTACCAGTTGTGTTCTTTCCTCAAAGAATTTGGGACCTTTCTGTCTCCTCACAACTCGGTACAATTTATTCTCCACAACTTTCAACATAACTGGATTTTCACTTGTGGGTGTGTGGTTTTCTGGGACCACTTCATCCCATAAGGGTTTTAAGCTTTCATCACGTCGTTGAGCTGCTTCAAACTGCCTCATATGGCTTTGGCTCAAACTGAAGGGAATTTCTTGGCTGACATTTTCATTTTGTGAGGTAGATGGTTGCTCATCTGTAACAGTGTATTCAGCCTCCCTATCTCGTTCAGCTTGGCTTCTGG